CATCTTCCAATCTGAAATGGGATAAAATCCCAGAACACTCGTCTTCTAGTAAGAAGTGACCCTCAATGAATAAAAATTCTAAACTAGCCCCTAAAGTAGTAAAAGCATGAATGGGAACACATTATGCTTTAGAAACCACAGCTGCTGATCATCTCAGTTCCTGTGAGAGCTGTTAAAAGAGGTGATGCAACATAGTGGTAAATTTGCTTCTGTCTAAACTTGTCTTAAATTTGTTTCTTGCACATATAACTATGCCTACATGCATATATACATTTATTCAAACTTTTAAGCAGTTGCACATCATGTGCATAATATTTTGTAATATTTTGTAGTTGCTTTTCATTTTAAAAACAGGTTATCTTGCACCTAAAGTAATTTTTATTTGTATAGATTTATTTTTTTTACTAAGTGTAGCTGGACCAAACAAAGCATCAAATTTAGCCTATTAGGGAAGTTCGACCATGTTGCAATTGATAAATGGGAGCAATGCTATTAAAAACTGTTGCTTCAAAAAAAGCAACCGACTTTTAATTTCATGCTACTGTAGATTAAATCGCTGTGCAGCTATTTTCCGTAGCCTCCTGTGCATGTGTAATATACATGTATAAACCTTAATCTGCAATTGTGGCCACGTTTTCGAATATCTGTGAGGCGGATATACTCTGAGCTCTGTGGTTCTTCCTAGAAGGCTTTGTGTCTGCTCATGTCAGTGCTGTCTTTTGACTCTGCTGGGTGTGAAATCCATGCAGTTTGCTCGAGTGGTATGCATTTCAGTTGCAGCTGCAAGAATTTGCAGGGAGAAACTCCTTTTTAAAATACTAACTTGATGTTGTTATTGCAGTGACATTGTGGATTGTTTTGGCAGAGAGGTATTTTGTTACTTGCTATAAACAAAAGCTGCTTTTATCAAACATTATCTATCATTCTGTAAGAAAAATAGACAAAAATGAACCAATTCAAATTTAAGGGAAAAAAACCTCAACTGTGGTGTGGCTTCCATTCATGCTTTTCTTTGAGGTTTCAGTGTTCAAAGATTCGTCAATGACCCCTAGTGTCTGTCTCTTCATTCTGAGCTTGTGTCTTATTTCTGGTCACATGGCCAAACCCCACACACCCCCCAACCCCCCCATCCCGCACTGCATCTCAGCCAACTGGCCTCAACTTCCGCTCCGATTCCAGTGAAGCAGGAAGCAGAGATGAAAGTCTCACCATCTGCAAAACGCACCATCCGGCTCTATTAATAGTGTCATTCAGTTTAAATTAAAATGTGACTTCATTTTTTGTGTGTGTGTGTGTGTGTGTGTTATCTGACTCTTTTGACTATTGGCGTTTTAACCAAAGGTCTTCTTTTTTTTGTCCATCAGATGTTGATCTTTTATAATAAGCCTGAATTTAATGAAACTAATATGATTAGGAAAACATCCCTGGAGCTTTAATATGGTTATACTACATCACACACAGTGACTATGAACAATTTAAATTAATATGGGTATTTAGAAATTAACCTGTAATGAAAATGTCACAGAAGAATATGCCTGGGTTTTTATTTCTTTGCTTTTTCAACAAAGTAATGAGACAACAACTGATGAAATTGCAAAAACACATGCAAGGGGCTGCACCCCTGTGAGTTCTTTCTGCATGGAGTTTGCATGGTCTCCATGAGCATGTGTGGGTTCTCTCCGGGTACTCTGGCTTCCTTCCACTGACCAAAAACATGACTGCTTGGTTAATTGGTTTCTATAAGTTCTCCTTAGGTGTGTGTGTGAATGGTTGTTTGTCCTGTTGGTCTCTGCGTTGCCCTGCTGTAGACTGGCGACCTGTCCAGGGTGTTTCCCATCTTAGGGATAAGCGTGATGGAAAAATGGATGGATGGACATACAAATGCAAAAAAGGGGTATTAAGGCAGTATTGGAAAGCATTTATTAGATCAGCAGAAACAGAGTTCTACAAACAGGTTACCTGTTACTGAGAAGGCTAACGTTGGATTAAAGCTCCAAGCTAAGACACTTAAGACTTGAATATTTTTGTATCTAGAGATGTTAATCAGTGAGCCAGCTTTCCATTGACAGGCTCCCATTAGGATGGGCAGGTCAGATTATTAAAAATATGGTCTTTTTATCTTCCATAAAGCCACCCAAACTAAAAAGTGTAACTTTTTGGATTGTAAATAAGAGTTTGCTTGAACTACATTCAGATAAAGGTTTGTGATATATGCTACGATGCATCAATGGAGGTAATCTAGTTTCTTTATTTTAAAGACCTTATTTTATTTTAATCTCTAATAATTTTTTACAATATTTTACATGGTATATTGTGTGTCAGAGGAGGTCATTTTTGTCAAAATAAATTACTTTTTGATGGTGCATGTGCAGGAGTCTGGACATGTTTAGTGTAGGCTTCTAACTTTAGCATTCTGTTTTTGCTGCCAATGGCCTCATTTTCGAAAAGCAAGAATGACCAATGAAGCAACAAAACTTTCGTAAATCTTGGTCCAACCTACTCGAGGTTGAGGGCTGGCACCACCTCAGGCAGAAGCTGAACTCTTAACTAGCTGTAGTCCTCCTAGAAAGATATCTTTTCATTACTTTTGTTACAAGATGTGCACATTATTAGCTGCAAGCAAATCTGCATGCAAACAGGAAATCTGCTGGGTAATTTTATTTGATTATAAAAAAGATATATATGATCAATTTGACATACAATTTACTGTTGATTTAGAATTAAGCTCTTAAAAGTAGGTCAGATCTAAAATAAAATTGTTCAGACATGTCTCGAAATTACTGTATATGTCTTATAATGTATGAAAAACAGTATGGTTTCGTTTTGTCTTTTTGACTTCAATGAAGTATTTAAAATGTGCATTGACCAAGCCATCTTACGTTTATTTTTAAAGGAGTCAGACTTTGACTTTAGCTTAAAGGTATTGTGGAGGATTTTCGTGAACACGCCCTCTCCAAAATATACATGCACAACCCTGTACCCGCTCCTGAGAGGGAGCGCCTATTAAACACGTTCAGTTCAGATTTCTCCTCATGCACGCTCTGTTTAACAGTTGCTGTTTGCATCGCTCATACAATCTTACTTTGCAAAAGAAGATTTGCAATTTTTCCACTATGTCAGCCTCACCACCAGTAAGTGAAAATGGAGCAGAGCACGTAGGATGACCTTGCATAAACATATCACCAGAATGAATGAAAATTAAGAGGACCACTTATTTTGATGATCCACCCAAAAAGAAACAAAACATCCTCCACTATGCCTTTAAGGTGAGGTTTAATATGCACTAAATTAAGCTTTTATTTACATAACAAATGTTTGGGGTGTGCTGCCTTTGATTTCAGATCCGAAAATCTGTCCGTCTACATTTATTTTCAAGTATAACCTGTAGAAAGAAAAAAAATGTCAAATTTTGGATTTATACACTTACCGGTAGACATGCATACGCAGAATTGCGACATAACAAAGAAAAACATTTTAAATGTCCAATTTTTATCTCTATCACATAAAAATCAATTCAATTAATTAATTAATTCAGTTTATTTATATAGTGACAATTGCCAATATATGCCATCTCAAGGTACTTTACAGAGATTATTCAATTAGATCATACAGTCAGATTAGTTAAACGTTTCAATCTATGAAAAAAACAGCTGCTTACATCTAGTCATTTGGAGATTATATTTGCTTGCATTTTGTTATTGGCTCTGCAGCAATCCCTCACACCAAGCATGAATGCAGTGACGGTGGTGAGAAAAAAACTGCCCTTTAACAGGTGCAACTAATCAGTTGTAATTTCTTAGTAATGTGTAGTTTGATTCCAAGGTAAAGCTGGAATCAAATTGCAAGATGACTACTTAACCCAGTGAGCCATAGTCATGCTCCATTACTGTGGGTTTACACCTTCCAACTTGTCACCAGCAATATAACAACAATAGGTTTACTTCAATACCTCCTTTAGCTTAATGATTCAGTTGTATATCATGTACCAGATGTCAAGAGAGAACCTGGAAGTAAAGGAGATCACAAAATATTGACTGGAGTTCTTGTCTTAAACTGGTTACAGAAGTCCTTTTTGAGATAAAACAGATGGGCTCTCAACATTAGGGTTTAATAAAAGGTGGCTACAGTGAGAAGGGACAATCTATAATTGAATAAAATAGTCATAAACCATGCAAGCAATGTGTTTTAAAATTGCTTTAAACATTTTACCATCTGAGATTTAAGGAATGTATATGTGTGTGCTAACTATATCCAGTCAAGTTAAAAGTATCCGGGTGACATAGCACTTTGTTTTTCTTGCTTACAGGCATTTGCCTCAGACTTTAACATCCCGATAAGCACTCTTCAGTGCTTGAAGAAGGAAACTGTAGCCAAAAACTGCTGGAAAGAAACACTCCAGAGTTTAGGAAAGCACCTGGAACCAGTCCACTCTCTTACTAGGGGTCACTGAGTTTTGTCTGGAGGCTTTCCCTACTGTAGCTGTTAACAGAGGCAGGCTGCACACAATCACTCTGAGAGGTCCCAGGAGTTTCAGGGACAAATTTGGAAACCACGCTTAGTACGAAATGGCACAAAATGGCTGCCGTTAGACCTCAGGTGGGGGGCAAGACAAATGGTAAAAGACAGGAAGAATTTTTTTTTAGGTATCATACATGCTTTCTGGTAGGCTTATTATAGCAGAAACACACATGCATACTGTCTACATGGGATTTTTGCCTTTTTGTAAAGGAGTGCAAAATATTCAATATAACTGTTAGGCTACTGTGAGAAAACAGACCTGTAAAGTAGAGCTGGAGGCATGTGACGCCAGATATGATTTCATGTTTTTGCGTAAGGCCAAGATGGAGGCGGAGAAGCTTTTAAGTGCGCTGCCTGTGTGTATGTGTGTGAGCCCGCATCGCCGGTGACATTTACCTAATGCTGCTGGCAGTCCATCAGCGACCATGTCTTTGTGCTCTCACAATGAAGGCTCAGTAGTTTTTCTGCTGCTTGTGGTGCAGGTGGTGACGCTGTGGTACAGAGCTCCTGAAGTGCTGCTCCAGTCCAGTTACGCCACACCGGTGGACCTGTGGAGCGTTGGCTGCATCTTCGCTGAAATGTTCAGGAGAAGGTGAGGTCTGCACCGAACCAAACACAGCCAACAAGTCCCACATTTGAAAAAAAAGTTTTGGGGATGTAGCCATTTTATGTCATTTTTGTGTTTTTTTTACACTTAGAAGATGCTTAATGTAAATTAAAGTGCAAAAAGAAAAGGGTCTAGACTAGCAGTTTAGGCACCAGCCATTGCTTTGCTTAACAATTTCAGCATCAGGACCAAACTGCCATGTATTTAGAGCTGCTTTTTTAGGATTGGCCTATGTTTCTAACATCCTTGACCAAGAGATATTGCTCTGCATGAATCCAAACATTCTTGTTCCTGAATGATTCCAAGATATATAATAATATGGCCAATTTCTTTTAGGCAGAAGACTAAATCATGACCAAAACTCTTATCGCCACACACAGAGTACAATTGCAATGAGATAAAACAAAAACAAAAAAAAAACAACCTCAAAGCTCACTGTTAGAGAATTGCAGCAAATAGAACCTTGCCTTGAGATGACATGTGTTGTGAATTTGGCGCTATATAAATAAACTGAATTAGAACCATCTTAGAGTCACTAAGTCTTCATAACAATCATTAGGTGCAATCTGCATCACAAATATGTAGAGTTTTCTAAACTCTTCCAGGACTTGAACTGGAATCTGGTGCTTTAGGAAGGTTTGCTATGAAACAAAGGAGAAATAAGTTGTTCCTTCCTTAATAGTCCTGGGAACTTGTGTGACATTATGGAGCCTGGAAAATACCAGGATATTGGTGTTAAAGCATTTTACAGTCAGTTAATTTGCAAAGAGCCATTGGCTGCAGTATTCCCTCTTCCCAGATGGGCCACAGTGGACATTACCTTCTGTTGCTGTCTTTGAAGCAATCCTTTACAGAAAGTATCCCTAAAAGAAAGTATCCATGTTGTAACAGTGGAAAGGAAACTATTTACATGAAATGACAACTATTACAGGAGGAAAGCTCCAGAGGAATCAGGCTAAGTGTGAGCTCCTTTTTGCTTCAATAGACTGGAGTCTGAGAAGACAGAGGTAGACACTGAAGCTTTTAGAAAGTACCTCTTCTGAACCCAGAGTTCACCCAGTTTAACCCTGACATGTGATGTTTCCTTTCACACATTGGTGGTTATCAGCTTTCTTTCATTTTCAAATCATTTTGCCCTTTTCTTCTCATCATAAACATTTGCCTGGGTAATTTACCTACACTGTTACTTGGCATAGTCATTATTTATTTTTATTTTTTTACAAATACAACACCAATTATTGAAGTGATAGTTATAGCATTCCCAACAAAGACTTCCTGGAAAGGATACACATTGGTTGTGTTGGAATGTCCACCCTAACCCCTAGATCCCTCAATAACTACATAGAGCGGGGTCTTTATAGTGGACTTTATAGTGAACTCAGCTAACGGGCCATTTAGACAGATGATCACTGCTTTTCGCTCCCGGTTGGTCACGTGGCTCCTCCTCCCCACACGGTGCCTGCGCCATCTTTGCTGTCAGGTCACAAACAGCTTATGACGACAGCGGGACTGACACCAAATCCAATAGTGCTTTGCGAGGAGAGCTCTCTCCCCAAAGCATTCCCCGGATTTGTCTGCTCGTCTAGTGACCATGGATGATCACTACTTAAAGGTGCATTGTTGCAAATTTCAAGTCCACTTTTTTTTCATCCAATAGACGTAACCGGGCACTCATTTAAAATGATGTAATCACTATATAGCACCCTATATAGTGATTAGGGCAAACATTCAGAAACAGCCATTGAGAATTACTATTAAAAACTGGGAAGTTTGGGAATTTGCTCGTTAGCTCGTCAATTACAGGGTTGTTAAATATGTGTCAACTTCCAGCTTTACTGATAATCAACACCTCTTTCTGTCATATAAGTTTTAAAACCATTTGAATGTGTTTGGTGAAGATCCCAAGCCATTTAATCAATTTATAGATTCATATAGACTATACGGTCAAACGAAGAATAAAAAACAGAGGCCTATTTTAAAATCTCTGCACTCTTTGTCTTAGAACCAACTTTTATATGGTCCAAAGAAAGTTTTCACACGATTTGAGTTATTGAGTCATTTGGGAATTTGTGAAACCACTCATCATCACCTCAAATGACACCTGACAGATGTTTTTGAGCAATAGGCAATCACATTTCAGTTGGCTTATCAAACCATTACAGTAAGACAGCCTGCCTGCTGTGGTTGAAGCATGCAATTCAAGATTCTGGTCTTGGTGTAGGTCTTTCAGTTTGTGGTTTAACGAACCTCACACACTGGGGAGGGGGGGACACACTCTAATAACTTATCTTTTCTGCAAAAAATTAAAATAAATACCAATCCCCCCATTTGGTTAGAAAAGCCTGTTTGCATTAATTTCATTAGCATTGAACAATTAATGTTTTGCACTATTTTAAGTAAAGGAACCTGTGTAATCCAAAGTAACATAAGTGTAGTTGTGTGTGCAATAGTAGATAAGAACTGTCGTTCTGGGGCAGGGCTTATTGCCAGAAGGAGCAGCCCTGCTTCCTTCCCCAACCGTCCTTTAACCCCATCATGCAAGCATGTGTGAGTTCATAAGCCAAAGAGGTCACACAGGGTTAAAAGATTTTGATTAAGATTTCATTTTCTATTTCAAATCTCGTTTTTTTTCTCCCAACACTTCAAGCTCAATTTTAAAATATGATTTGTGTCGGGGTGGAGGTGTAAAACTAATTATTGATCGAATTGCACCCATCCCCCTTCTTCAACTAGTTTTTATATCAGCTTTTATAACCAGGAAAGTAAGCAAAGAAACAACAATTAAGATGGAAACATAGAATCTAAAATATGCCCCAGAACACTTTTTTTTTTTTTTTTTATCTCTAAATGTTTTTTTTTTTTCAGAATGTCCTTATGATACCTATGAATATGTTCATTTGCTCAAATTCCAAGTATATTTGCTGGCTTGTTCAAATATGCACAATTTTGGAAAACATGTGAGTGATTTATATTAGAAAAATGCTGGAATTACTCATGAGGTTTAAACCATTGGCAAGCTGCTAGTTCTAGAGTTGATGTGATTGTTGGACAAATTCTAAGCATAAATTCTTCAACTATATTTATACTGGTTTATACCTGACTACATAAGAAATCTGGTGACTGAAAGCAATCATTCGTAGACATCAGTCCTATTTAATATTAGATGTTTTAACCTTAGGCAAAGAGTTTGCTACCAGGATGAATGAAAGAAACTGAGGTTTTCTTAAGATGGCTTCACAACGGTGGATCATTGACACCCAGTTGCCCATAGTGTCTGCAGATATTGTTTACTATCTTAATTTAATTGCATACTTGCTATATATTGGATTTTTAAAATACTGAATTAGGGCTGGACAATAATTCAATGACAGTATGTATCGATCAATAGACATATATCTATAATAGAAAAAAAGGTAAATAAAAAGTTCAATAGAATACCTGTTTTCCTTCCTAGTGCATGTTAGTCATGTTTGTTAATATTACAGTCATTACAGCCTCCCAACCAATCACAAACGCAGACCCAGGAACACTCTGTCACTAATTCCCGCTCCCTTCAAAGAGTTTAGAGAGCGCATGTTCTTTTTTCTTTTCAAAAAACTGGCAATTTTGGTAAAAAAAAAGCTTGTTGAATAAAGAGTTATGTGTGAATTCAGTGTTTGTGTGTTCTGTATTTAAAAATAGGTCACTAAGCAATAGCATAAAATGTGCAGGGTGGCACTTAACATATATGTTTTATTTTATCGAAATGCTTTTTTTTCTATATATCGTCCAGCCTTAAGCTGAATAGGTTCAGTCTCTTAAATAAGATCACTTCATCAGTATCAAAATGGATCCAACAGACCAGCCCAGTAGCCTTCCAAATGCTTGCTTTAAAGGTCCCCAGCTAAAAGATCCTGTAGTCCCCAAAAATCCCAAAGCATAATAAACAGGATTGCCTTTTACTTTACCTCTAGATCTTTCCATGCAGTAAATCCATCATGACTTGACTTAGGAGATAAAATCAGCGAGTTCACCATTTACTCCATATTAAAATGTCATGTTCAACCTCCTTTATATTCTGCCTGTGATGTTTTTAATGTTGTAATAAATGGTCAGTGATTATTTATTATCTTATACTAAATGATGTTTTAGCAGATGTTTCAAATAATCCAGACTTAAACTATGTTTTATCATGGATTAACACTCGTTTATACTCTGAGAAAGGTTCAGATCAAAGGTATTAACTGCTGTGATGTTAATGAAGAGCTCAGAGGCATGAAAAGGCACAGATGTGCATAAAAAGGCTCCTAAAAACTCGAATTGTTTATTCAAATTGTTCTTTTCTATATGGATTTTTCTTTGGAAACAAAAAAACAAAAACGTTTTTTTTAATCTGTTAGAAATTCCTTCATGACAGCAGTCAGTAAACTCTGTGTTTCAGTAAGGATAGGGTTTCTTTTTTTGTCTCTTGAGTTTGACAGAGAAAGCTGTTAAAAGCTTTGCTGTCTGTTTGTAAATGTGGGCGTCTTCATATGTTGGCACCTGACCAGGTTTTCTTCAAGGTGAAAGGTGAGTCCTTTGATTGCCTTACACACAAATGGCTTTCTCTTTAGGTGATAAAGATGGCTCTTTTAAAGGACACCTGTCTGAGATTAAAGGGCACCCTCGAGAGGTGGTGAAAGAAAGCAAAAGGATGATTTAGAAGAAAGTGCAGCAAAGGAGAAGGGAGGAAGGAATGTGCGTTAGCTTGCATCTAAACTGTGTTTTAAAGTGTAATTGTTAAAACTGCTCTTTTGAAAGTTTGCATGAGTTGCAATCTTTCATCAGAGCTTCAGTAGGCAATGAGCGCATTCATGTTGCCTGTTATTTCATGTTACACCTCAGAGGAGTCCATAAAATATGCCTAGGACTTAATAAATTGGAACCGTCCTCATTACTGCTCTCCTCTTCTTCTTAAAAATGCATTTTTGGGAGAAAAAAAAAACAACGGTATATTTGCACCGTTATGAGAATACAGTGCAGAGGAATTTAAGCAAATATTACACAAGTCTGCATCTGCATGGCAAGGATGGTTTCTGACTCACAGTTCAATGGAATAAGAGAGAGCATGCCTGCTTGTTGACATTCCTCAAATCGAAAAGTGATGCCTTACGGTCCGGGAGAGGCCCTACATCCTTGTTGATGTTCTCACAGTTTGAGGGTCAATTGATAAACCCTGATAAAGCAAAGTCGTGTGCAGATGTGTGCACAGATCAACATGAAACAAACAAAGTTTGGTCAGATATTGTTTGCCCATTTGGTCAAAGCACACAGTGCATTTTTTTTTCTGAAACACCCACACTGCATTACTGTCTTAATTCCCACCAGACAGATTGACTTACTCACGTGCAAACATGTGCACACATTCCAGAGGTGGTCTCAGTGGAATGTGGGACAGTGCCGAACTGGCACTAAAGGAAGCGTGACTCAGCTGCCCGTCCCAAAACTCGTGTCAGCCCTTCGACAGTACCACTCATACATCTGTGTGCGAATGTGCTATGCACTGCAAGTAGACCTAGTGCCAACATTCAAGGTTGCATTGCACAGACTATGTATATGTGATTAACTGAAAATTTACAGTTTTATCAAGCTTCTGGCTATGCGTATGTCAGCGGTCAATCTTAGATGAGTTATTCCCAGTTGTCCCCCCCTACCACAAACCAACAAAGCACTTCAGGTTTAAAAATGGACCTCTTGGAATTATCAGCCCTACTTGTTTTGGCATGATAACTTGCTGTAGGTGATTTTCTTTTTTCTGTTGCAACTGTCAGGAACTGGTTTGGTGTGATCTGGAAATACTTATAAATGCTTTACTCAAAAGAATTTGCATGTGTTTTGTTTTGCAAAATGCAGAAGTTAAAACAAATTATTGGTACAAAAACAATAAAAGTCATCTTCCAATAATCGTAACTCAGTTTAACGGCAGTCTTGTTATTACGTTTAAAATAGACAGAGAGTCTGCTTTCATTGTGCAGTCATGGATGAAAAATATCCCGGACTTTGATCGTGTCGGAAAGTGTGGGTGTTGAGCTATGCAAGGCTTCCTGCAAGTGGAAAACACAGGGAAGTACAAGGTGGCTGGCAGGTTACTGCTGACTTCACTCAAGTGGGGGTCACTCAAACAGTCATCAGACCAGCATTTGAAGTACAGCGTGTGAAAATATTCGTAAACCATGAACTCTTCCATTAAAGCTCCAAGACTTTCAAGATCAGCACAAAGAGGCACATAATTGCAAAGCAGACTAAAAATTCTGCATGTTTTTCTAACCAAATGCCTTTAATTTTTGCTTTATGTAGTCTGATACTTGTACATAAAATTTGCACATAATCTAACTAGTAAATACAATTATCTTTACCTGTTTCCTCAGGATACCAACAGTATATATTTGAAGTTCTCAGAGGTTGTCTGAGAGCAACAGTGTTTGGAACACACTGGGCACTTCAGTTATGGTGATCTGGAAAGGATTCAGGCAAAGTCAAAGAACATCTCCCAGAGCTCTCCTCAGGAAACCTTTCAAAGTTGGAAAATATGTGTTTTGTTTTTCTCCACCTTATCAGTTGAGCATTTACCAGAGGAACAGCCAAGAGGCTGTTATGAGGTAACTTGAGGTGCTTCAGAGATGCACAGCTCAGGTGGGACCTTTTCTGGATAAGGCAATGATTAGATGCTAATAAGAGGTTTATCAACAAGTGGCAAAAAGAAAGCCTTTGTTGAATGAAAACAAACAGCCAAATGGACGTAGCAAACATGCTGAAGGTGCTTGGATGTGTTTAGATTAAAATCAAAGTTTTTGGCTGATATAAAAAAAAATACTTCTGGGAGAGAACTAGGTTTTGAATATCAGCTATAACCTTTTTTTTATGGTACAACATGGTGGTGGAAGCATCATGCTGTGGGGATGTTTTCCATTTGCGTGGAGAGGGAGATTGGTCTGTGTTGATGGGAGGATTGGGGGAAGCTAAGAACAGGACAAACCTGGATATGGAGGAAAAACTGTTGGAGGTTGCAGACGGTTGACCTTCAGGTTTTCATCGGGCACTACTTTATGTTTTTTTTTCCTATTAAACACAAACATTTATTAAGATATAGAAGTTTGTAGGTGTAACATAAAATAGTGTGGAAAATTTCAGTTTATATGACAGTTTTGCAAGGCGCTGTATATGCTTTAAGTTGGGGGCTTGGTGTAGATTTACCATTATTATTTAGAAGACTGTATACCTTGATGTTTATTTCTTATCTTAAATTTTCCACAAAAAAAAAGGCATGAGGTATAAAAGTTATTAAAGCCTCTCTTCTTCCTTTCTTCTCAGACGAACTTGAACAGGAACGTCTCTTTCAGGTTCCTCTTCCTCTGCTACAGTAATCCAACTTTTCCTCCACATTAATTTCAGTCCCACTCGCCTGCTCACACTGACGGAGCAGGCAGCCAAAGCTGACGGGCATAGGAGCCAAAGAGGCTTTTTCTATCCTATGAGGCGACTTGTAGGCCTGTGTTGATGACTACTGGAATTTGTGCGAGTGCCAGGCCCGAGCCATGACCGCCCACGGGTATCAGGAAGATTGCCCAAAGCCACAGGAACCACCAGCAGTCCTGCTACTGCTCCCCTCCTTCTTTTCATCCTGGTTCCCTCCTTCCTGTCTTTAGTGGTCTTACCAGCACTGCTCCACAGTCCTGACAAAATGTGGACTTCAAAGGTTCACATCAGGCTCTCACATTCCTACTGCCCCAAGTAAAAAGCCTGTATATTCACCTAAAGCAGGGAGACGAACATTAAAACTGGTGTCTGCAGTGAAAGTTGTTGAGATGATAGTCAAACTGATTTGTTGTTGTGTTTTTTTCTCATTTCTATCCTAGACCTCTTTTTCGAGGAAACTCCGATGTGGATCAGCTGGGAAAGATCTTTGAGTACGTACAAGTAAAAATTGTATCCAGTCTAAGCAAAAATAACTTTTGTAAGACAGGATTGTGCATTAAAGTAGTTCTAGAATCATCTTTACCTGGGATATGTTTCTGAAAAAGTAAAAGATGCTCATTGCTGATGGGCTTTATCATTTAACAGTGTTGTTGGGGTACCTTCACCTGAAGACTGGCCTGAAGAAGTGGCCTTACCTCAGAGTGCCTTCACACCCCGACCCCCAAAACCAATAGAAAACCTGGTGCCAGACATGGATGGGGAAGGACGAGCCCTGTTAATGGTTAGTATTAACATCCCTTCAAATCAATCCTTATACATTTTTGGTTGCGTGATATTCCATTCTAATCTCTTTTTTTTTTTTTTTTTTTTTATTGTTTCTTCCGTCTGTAGCAATTTCTCACCTTCAACCCCTCCAGGAGAATATCGGCCTTCGCTGCGTTGAGTCACCCCTACTTTCAAAGTGTGGACAGTCACAGCAGGAGCCTGTATGCTACACATTCAATCCCCAGCATCAAGCCCTCTATTGAGGAGAGGACTGCCTGATGGTCCTCCCTACAGTTACCCCCAAACAGTGTCTATGACAAGTATTTCTTGTACCCACCTTGTTTTATTGGGTTTATAACAACTAAAACCACACAAATTAAGCATTTTGACACTGATCAGCAGAAATCAAATGAGTCTATAACTCTAAAATGCCTCTTGATGTTGGCCCGTTAGGCTAACAGACTATATCTCTTTGCAGCACTTTCATACTGCAGTATGCATGAGTTAGTACACAAAAACTGTGATATTAATACTTTATTTTTTTATCTCCAAACAAAACAGCTAACATTGACCGGTTTAAAAGCTCACTTGTTATAGCCATTAATTTAGATTTCACGTGTCTGATGATTCTCACAGCCAACAGGGTTGACTTCAGTCTTAAGATTCATGATCAGACATTGCTTAGGGGGATTTCATGCTGGTTTGTGGGATCTAAAAATAAAAAAAAAGTAATAAATTACTGAGGAAAAACCTACATCTTTCCTGCACATTTTAAATGGGAAAACAAACAAAAAAATGCATCGGATCTTTAACCTAACCTAGCTTTGTTGATGGACCCTTTCATTATATTTTACCAGCCAGTCTTTGGTAGGAGTGTACCAGCATCCTGACCTGGCAGTACCTGCCTGTTCTACTTTTAAAAAGTTCCAAATCCTTCAAAGCTGCGAAGGCATCTTTTGGTCACAGCCTTCATTGATTATTCCTTTAAGGACTGTTTGACGATCATCACAAAACATTTCATTTCCTGTCAGACAAGTCAATCTTTTGTAGATGTGAATGTATCCTTGGACTTACTGTGATGCCTAGAGACAAAACCCTCATCATCAGCTTCTAGGTCAATTTATACCAGTTTTCAACTAAAACACATCCAGTTTTAGTAAAGTTCCTTCATATTTACCTACATTAATAGTGACTGTTTTCACTTTACAACATAATAGCACACGTCCTTTAGACCTTTCTTTTTACTTAGACTTCTTTTCAGTTAGATTCATTCACTATGCTGTAACTTCTCCTCAATATAAGGCTTTAACAAAGAATATTAATAAAAATTAAACCTGGAAACCTAAACTTCCTTACATTTAATGTTGCTGGGGAAAATTCTCAGTCATTCCAAAAAAAAGTAAAAAAAAAAACAAAAAAAACAGTGCACTGGACTTTGTTTCCAAGTTTGAAAATTTAATGTTCGATCTGAATCAAACCAAACCAAATCTTAAAACTGAATTAAAAAACTTAATTTAGGGCCGTTCACATTTATGATGCAAGATTATTGCAGCTTTTTTACTTTTTAATTCTCTGTTAAATGGTTTTTTGAATTGTAAAGATTAATATCCTGCTTGATTGCAAAACATTATTTATTAGGGGCTTTGAAAGAAACTGTTTTCTTGTGATTTCAGTGTCAAAAAGCTTAATTGGTTGTAGTTTGATGTAGTATATAAACTTAAAATATACTGAAATGATGGGAGGGAAATACTTTTTATGATCACGTACAACACTCCTGAAAGTACTCAAAAAAAAAAAAACAAGATGGTGAAAAGGGAGATTGTGCCCTTGAACCATGCACAAAAGCTGCCATCCCAAGAACCAGTGGATCACAATTGCTGCTTATAGGATGTGAATTGTTGCCTAATGCAAACATAGGCCTGCATCATAGATGGACTTCTAGATTAGTGGACGGACAAATTATGGAGGCTGAAGCTTTGTCATGACCAGTGTTTAGACTTTTTTAGACTCCCCCCCCTGTTTTGAGGAGCAGACAGGGTCTGAATTGGACAGCGTGGATCTCACCTGCTTTTATGCTCACTGTGGAAATGTGTGGAGGGACGAACAACAGGAGCACTCTTACAAATACTCAACCCAAGCATGCTTAAGTACCTATAAAGTCACAAGGAATCACAAGCCAGCCTCTCACTGCCATGTTTCCTTTTTGTTCTGTTAACTATAAGATCGCTGCCATCGTGTGGATATCTAAAGTATCTGCAGCAAAACCAGTAGCGGGATTCTAATGGTTGCTGCAGTCTTCAAGAACTCAATGGGCTGATCATAATGGTGCTGAGACAATGAAAACTGTTCCTGCCTCTTACGCTAAGACTGTTTTTCATTTTTGAAAATAATTTTTTCTGCCATTGTGGGATTTTCTCATTGTAAAATTCACTTAATTACTATCTACATCAATGCATAAGGCACAGGCTTGACCTCTGTGGCTGAAGTCCCACCAGCACTATTCATCATGAAAACATTTGGCAAAGTGTTATCAAAAATATTTTGTATTTAATTTAAATTTTGTTGACAAGTCTTATATGCTTTTTACTGGATTTTGTTTTTCTTAATACGCTGGGCATATGATATTCTTACACCAAGTGCACCAATTCTGCACATGATTAGAGTTTGTACGTCTAAGGAATGTGTAAAAGCTAGGTATTGGTACTGTACAGTGTATTCAGCTAGGTGCAGCAACAGAAACTGTTGATAAAGTACATAGATATGTCATAAAGTGGCTAGATGTAGAGTAGGTGAAGGTCAGTGGAAAGTAGTGTGATGAGAACATTTTACTTCTTGAAATGTTGGATGGATTTCCTTTACTTTGGACTGATGATGGCAACGAATTTAACAGTAGTTTGATGAAATGATACACATTTTTATTTACAGTTTTTTTGCTTTTCACGTAATTGTGCCGTTTTATTGTTGTTCCGTTTGTTTTTTTGTTTTTATTTTTTGTAAATGAGTAAGAAAAAGGCAACTTACGCAGAGCTGTATTTTTGTATTTGAACAGTAACAATTTAACACTGGTCGGTTTGTTTTTAACAGGTAGTGCTACTAGCACACACACACAGACACACACTCATTTTTCAACTCTCTCAGGTTTTTTTCTGGATGTCCAAACCTTTTGGACACAGTTTGCACAACTCCTGGCTTACTACGTGACCACAAAACGACTTCTTCAGGTTTCCTATCAAGCTGTCTCATAATGGTGTCTTTGACTATAGTCTACTGTCAATACTATTTATCAGTTATATTACTGTAGCCATTTATGTTTGGAAGATGTTGTTTAGTTAATGAATAATAGATCTGCTTAACTAAACACTGTGCATTTTCTATATGATTGCAAGTTTTCTGGTATAAGTGCTCCATAACAAAGCTGCATAATTATAAAGTTATAATGACTTTAGAAATAGTGTTTTATAATTGAACTAATTATATTTTCAAAGACTTACAATCTTGTAATTCATTTCAATCTAATGTCAGTTGTTTTTTGTTTGTTTTTTAAGGAGCTTTACAGTTTAAGAATTATTAAATTAAGGATGGAATATTGACAGATTGACAAAATGTATGTATGGAAGCATTGGTTGGATAATATTGTCTTGCACCAGCTGAATAAAATGCAGGATTTTTCAAATGTTTGGAGTTGTCTATATATGCAGATGAATCAGATAATCACACACTTTCAATTATTGCTTCTAGTTGTAAACTTCGTTATATTTTATTGAAGGGAGCTATAGGAATGTATGCATCCTTTAGGGGGCTGCCTGCTCTCCTAAAGGAGTCGTCTTAGTTTTTCTTTTGTTTTTTTTCAGGCCAGACAAGAATATTTATTACCAGTAAAATTATGAAGTTATTACTCGGCTCAATTTTGCTTGTTTTTTTATTTGTTGTTTGTTTTTTTTTGTTTGTTTTTTTTTTTACCTCAAATGTGGAAAAAAATTGTTTGCGGAATTGTTTGCGGAATACCCTATAACGCCCACTAGGTGGCAGTAATGCATGGCTAATGATTGTGATAGCGTCGCAGTCGAAGAAGACTATAGGCACCGCTGTTAGCTTCATACTATGCAGTAGTTACCCCAATGCTACCAAAATAACACTAATGATTATTCTTATTATTGACTGGAAATGGGCAAGAGAGACAATCGAGTGGTGAGTTAACTTCAGGCTAACTGAACATACAAGTTGCATGCTCTAATATCTGTCAAATTTCTACATTAAAAAGGTTAGCTTTAGCATTAGCATTGTTGACTACGTTATGTGGCCTTTTTTTGTAAATAAGTCTAATATACTATTAATATGGCGTCGTTAAATAAAAACGGAAAGTCAAATAGAATAAACGTTAAAGGAACTTATCCAATTGATGGTATAAAGATACTAAAATTTTAAACCCAGTCTGTGCAGAAATGCTAGCTTTAGCTTCATTTCAGTGTTGTCATTCTTTTTCACACGAAAGTAATAATTGGTGTTATAGTCCGCTGTTAGTAATAGAAAGTAGCATAATAATTGTTCATTTTAGTTTTGAAAATAACTTGCCGCTACTTTAAAAATGACTTATTTCTTTAAAGAGCCTAGCGTATGAAAATTAAACAGTGAAGCATTAAATAAATACATTCCCCTTTACTTTACACATCTGTGTTCACGTGATGGATTAAGAAAGAATAAATGCATCCTAACAAACATGCCGTAAATGTAGAATATATTATGGTGCAACAGAAAATGCAGACAATCTATCATGACATAATATAAACTATGACTGCATCGGATTGAACATCCTGCACAGCAAGATGTCTGCAGACCAATCACTGTATTTATTGTAATGATAGGCTGCTGTGATAGATTAACTGGTTGTGGCAGCTGGAGCTGCTGATGTTTCTAGAAAGGTAGCCGCGTGAATGCCTGTCTAAAAATACTTCTAACCCATCTACAAAATGTTATCACAAACTTAAGTTCACTTATACATTTTATTGTCCACTGAGAAAAAATTTGTTTGAATCACCAATGATTACAAAGCAACATCAGCAGCTGCTGACTCTCACTATGGGGACTTTCCCACTGACCTTAACAAGATCAACGTGTGAAACAGAAATCACATTATTTTTAAAGTACAGGAAAGTCACTGTTACTGCGAAATTTAATTAATAATTTCAACAGACATACAAATATCCCAATCACTTCCATGTTCTATTAGTCAATCTATCATCAATCTGGAAAGATCCTGGACTGTCACCAGATCCCCATATTAAATCCATGTCATTCGCAGTATTATCATAGTGTTGGCTGCATGCATGTAGCTTTAATCATGAGACCATGACCGGCTGTTTCTGAACTGGTTTTAGCTGCACGATGTGTACATTAGGGTTGAAATTTATTTCTTTTGGAGAGCATTTTAGCTAATAAAATCAGAATCATGTTCTTACTGATACAGAAACCTTACTTTTTATGTATCCACACTTGAATTTAAATCCCAGAGTTAGCAGCTACTACTACGGCATATGTATCACATGCCACAGCTGTTTGATATCCAAGCAGAGAGGGGAAGAAATGTGTCTAGATGTGCTCTAAAAACAAAAGTGTAAAGGTTGGAATCATAGCTTCTCCACTAGATAACCAACTGCAGCATTTAGAAAAAAGGCAGTTAAGAAATCAGGAAACAATCAGATTAACTTGTGACAAACAGGGTATTTCCTGAGAGATTAGGTGGCTGCGTGTTTGCCCAATCAAAACACTCCAAATGTAAACCGGTCAGAACAAATTTTGTAATTTCTGGCCTTGGATCTATCTGTTGTGTAGAAAGAATGTGAAATGTCATAAGAAGAAGTTTTTTTTTTTATTACAAAAATGCCTCAGTGGTAGACAGGCAGCATCTAAAAGCGTCTGTCTTTTAATTCCTGACTGATGAAGTTGTGATCCATCTCAGTCTGGAAGAGTATGGCCTGTTAAACACTCCAACAACTGAGATAATGTTTAAATCCTTAAATTAGTGTTGCGAAACATTAATTTGGGAATTGTAATTGTCATTCAGTATTTCTTCATGTTGCAATTATGACACTGCCATTGTAATTATGTTCATAGAGTCACCTGTCCTATTATATTCCATTCAGTTTGTCAATGGAAGCCACATTATTGCATTTGCATCCATAGGAACTTTATATTTGGCAATTTGATCATATTTTGACTTTCTACCCTGACGTTATACTGCATGCTTCACTGGCACAGAGGGAAAAAAGAATAAGCTAACCCATCATAAAATGCTAGTCTTTTCAGACTTGCATCATAACATTATCTTGCCCTACTCCGTAAAATCAGTTAAATGCAATGTGAGAAAAGGTGCCAATGTGGCTGTGAACCTACAACCTTCAATATTCTCTATATCCTTGTGTCCTTTCTTAACGAGCTAACATTGTAGACATGTCAGATTATATCACCTGGGGCATTTTACCTGGTAACGGTTACTGAGCTGTGTGTTGGACAGCAGACCTAGATCAAATGGGGACATTTACATTTTCAGGCTCAGCTGGTAGTGCTAATTATCTTTTGCTTTCCGCAATATGAGATTTTTCTTTTCTTCCTTACCACTTCTACTTATGACAGAGTGGGGTCACCGCGTTAAGAAATGATTAGAAAGTAGGTTCTGCACCGTAGCTTTAAAAGAGTTAAAATGATAAACAATCACCCTGGAGGCTGTCTCTTTTGCTTTTGGAGCAAAGGATCGGCATTTGGCCATGTTTCCTCAAATTATACACATATCCACACAGCATATTGACTGAATCATAAATTTATTTTTATAAGTTGTTTTATCATCAAAAAGTTGATAATCCAAAAGCTCTGTTTGTTTTCCATTTCGAGGACACCTGTTTTATTTATTATTTTTTTAATCCTGTATGTGTTTGTTGCTTAATATCATTGTATAGATATTTTCTTCAGTGTTTTTAGTTATCATCCCGAACTGAACGTAATGAAATCACTTTTCCTCGGTTGTGTTCTAGGCATACATAAACCCCATTGCAGCTGCTCGATCCAGGGGGCCGGTCCAGAACTCCGGACCAACTATACAGGATTACCTAAGCAGACCTCGTCCAACATGGTGAGCTGCTAATTTCAATAAACAAGACAAACATGTTTCTAACATATATGTGCTATAATGGTACAACCCTTTTGGGTTGTTTACCAGATCTCTTATATTGACGGGGAAATCAGGTCTTTTAAAATGTCAAAATAGAAAGTGAAGTTATGGCAGCTAGGTTATTGTTCTACTTTGTGAATTGTAAATTGTTAGCAAAGTTATCTAGATTCTTCAGGCGTGCATTTAAATTGTGAGGTGTGCTAAGCTTATTTCCTGCTTATAAAAAGCCAATAAAGCACGGAGGTATAAAATGATTCTGCTTTCTGTCAGCAGAAAGCTTCTGATTATACCAAGATCTGACCTCTTATAAAAAAATAAAAAAAAAAATCTGAATATAGAGACAAAACTGAGCAGTGGAAACAAACTGCTCAGTGAATACTGTATGTCATTATTATTTTTATGAAATAAAACTTTTTTCTAAACGTTTAGGATTGTTGCTCTGACTAGATTCTATGAGTAATTTTGGATAATTGGTTGCCTTGGTAATTCGACAAACTGATTAACTGCATGTTTAACAGGGAAGAGCTGAAGGAGCAGCTGGAGAAGAAGAAGAAGGGGTCTCGAGCCCTGGCTGACTTTGAAGACAAAATGAACGAGGTAATGATGAAGTGACCACTACTGATTTCACAGAACAGCATTTAAACATTTTGGAAAAAAGCAAGCCATTGGTTTAAAATGATCATGACCAAATACTTGACAAATGAATTACGTTAAAGAGAAAAATGGCGGTCTTGATTTACATACATGTGTTAACAACACATCTACTCATATTCGGGAACTAATATTTAGTTGGTAAAATGTTGTTTGTAGAGATGGAGGAAAGAGCTGGCTAAAAACCGAGAAAAAAAGCTTGGGGACAAAGAACGGGATAAAAGATCAACGGACAGAGAGGACAAGAAAGACAAAAAAGAGGTTTGTAATCTTTTTATACATTTTTTTTGTTTAGAGATAAATTCTGTATTTACTCACTACAGTTCTCTGTTTCAGAAAAAGAAGAAAGAGAAGAAGAAGTCTAGCAGGGTGAGAAGAGACCTCCAGTGCTTTTTCGTTTCACTTTCACAACGCTCATCTTTTTACTCCTGCATGTAAAGTTTCCAAGGTCTCATTTATAAAGGATTGTGGTTTTTGACTAAAACTGTACGTGGGTCAGAAAGCTGAACATTTTTGCACTATTTAAGATATATAACACCATGTACTGACACAAAAACAAGCATTTTTTGCTTTGTAAATCACAGCTATACCTTAAAATTTCTGTACATGGCTCCACCTAACGACTCCCCACATTCAACTATAAATCCGGGTAAAAAGCCTCATAAATTAGGTAATTAAGCAAGCCAGATGACTGATTTTTTAGTTTTTTTAATGCTTAACAATGGTAACTGCAGGTAAGAAAGCGTTATTTCAGACAAAGGGATAATTTCACCAAATTATTTTGTTCCTAAAAGTTGCTTCTGGCACAGACTTAATTGTTGACTATGTTTAACACCTGGGAAATATGGAAAACCAGCACTGTATGTATCTATAAGATTTAAACTGGATGAGTTTTGACTACATTGGTTTATATTTAGATGTTTCTTTATCTCTCTATTAATCTGAGGATTATCTTGGACATTTATTTAACTGACTTCAGCTTAAAGCCACATATTGTATGATTTATGAATATCTTATCACTGACAAATATATCTAGGGCTGCAACTAACAATAATTTTTCAAATCGATGAATCTGTCGATTATTTTTCGATTAATAATCAGATAGCCAAGGGCTTCTTAAAGAAGATTTTTTACAAAATTAAACCAGGTGAAATTAAAACTTTTGCACTTGTGGAGTTCTGGAGAGTTAGTTGAAAGACAAACATTTTATTTTGATTTTAAATGCAAGATTGTGTTTTTTTTTTTTTTTTTTTTTTACAATTTTTGCATAATTGTTGCTCTTATTGGGTCACTCTGTCAGCTAAAGGCATATTTTACAGTCTCTATACTCCAGTTAATCATGAATTGATTACTGAATTAGCTGACGGTTATTTCAGTAATTGATTAATTTCATTAATTGTTACAGCCCTAAATGTATATTTTAGCTTATATATTAAGTGCTGATATTTGTGTTTCTTTACCCCTTGCTCTTTTCTACATTTCTACATTTTCTACGTGCACACTGACTTTTTTAAACCCCTGTGATGATCAGGAATGAGCGTGTCTCCAGTACAAACCAAGCTCTGCACATGGATACAAAATCGCTTTAGCCGTTTGATTCAGGTGTGAAGGAGCGAGACATCTGAAAGATGTAGGATAGTGGACCTTGAGATTTCTGTCAGGAATTCCAGACCAATTTAGAAGGTAGTCATCATCATTGGCCAGGAAACCTTAGTGATCCCTGAAAATCCGCTCCCTCCTAAAGGGCTGGTTATTCTCCTGCAGCAGCGTATCGCAGTGAGCTTGATGCAGACATTTTTGATTTATGCCCAATATTGAAGCGTGGTCTGCGCTACACGCTGTGGGTCTAGATACCGCCGAGGCGGTGAGGAAGTGGAACAAGTTTGCCCGACAATGGAGGGAAATGACGCCGAAAAAGAGCAGGTATCCGGGTGGAAAAAGGGTCCCAGCGTTCTCGCGCACCTCACTCTTCTAGCTGGTCTAACTTCACCAGTTGTTTTTGGCTATCGCGGTCATTAAAAAAAAAAACAAGCCAGCCTCCTGTCTGCCGTACTGTCTGCGGTCACCTACAATTAGGGAGAGGTGCAGCAGAGTGTCTTTAGAGGGAGCGGAGACGTCTTTTTGTTCACTGCGACACAAACGCAGACGACCTAGTTTCAAAATAGAAATTAGCCTTAACTCTCCCATTTTCATTAGCTCCAGCAGAGCTAATGCATCCATTTGTGCAGCAAAATATAGAGGCGATACTGCAGTGTTTAAATGTTTTCAGCAATCTTTTTTTAATGTTCGCCTGTGGTACGGCTCATCCTGTTGATCATCAAGGCGATGGGAGCTTATGGAGCCTTTATTAGCTTTTATTTTTATTTCTGTGCGTAGATTGTCTTATTTCCCCACCTCACCATCTGTCGGCAGTTTTTCTGACCTGCAAATTGTGTATATCTCCATATGCATGGGTCAGAGTTGACCTGAGGAGCCGGTTGTTTTCAGTGCAATTTTATTTTGTTTGTCTGTTGTTGTTTTTTTAGGGGTCCCATCATTTACTTGATTTTCAGGCCCAATTTGGCGGACACACAATCTTTATAAATGAGATCCCGCATTCTTAGAAATCAGATTTAGACTTAATGTCAGTTTTTAGCCAATTTCATTGGCTCAAATCTAATGAACCCTGCTTCTAATGTGTTTTGCTCAAGCATTCTTCATCTTCCTCCTCCTCATCGAGTTCTGATTCCTCCAGCAGTTCTTCTTCAGACTCTGAAGATGAGGTAGGTCATGTTGTAGAGATTTGGCAAAAACTGTCTAGTATAATTGTTCTATATTTTGAAGTGTAATCCTAATCTCAGTTTATGGGTTTATAATTACACCCTGATATTTTTTCATAATGACAAAGCTGGATTAGATAAAAGCATATTTTTTTAGAGTAAAATGTTTTCCTGCAGAGTCTAGAAATTCAACCCAAAGGTATGGAGAAAAAAAAAGAGTAGATTAAGAGTAGATTATAATGTTTTTGACAGATTGTAGAGTTTCATCAAATGCTGATCAGAAATCAAGCTGTTCTGACTAAACCATTTTAATGTTTTTGTTTGTCACCAATTTCATGATCACTGACACACATTGAATCACCTTCTTTTTCCTTTTTTTTTACTGAATATACGTTGACACAGGACGAAAAGAAGAGCATAAAGAAAAAACGGAAGCGGAAGAGATCCTCCGCCAAGAGACCGTCAGAAAGTTCGGATGAAGATTCGGATGCTGAGAGCAAGGTTTTTCTTTTTTATTGATGGATTCTGACTTAGCATTAAAAGACCTTCAGGCTAATCTGTCTTTTTTTTTTTTGTGTCCAAAGAGAAGGAAGCAAATCAGGGAAGACGGAGAGAAAGATAAGGTAATATAAATCTGCCCAGTTGAAAAGGTTTTATTAATTTCAAAGTTTCTAAACCAAGCAAATCTTATCTTTTCTCCCTCAGGATGAAAAGGAAGGTAAAAGGAAAAGGAAAGCTGAGAGGAGTCACAGAGACTCATCGTCAGAGTCCTCTGTTGGCTCAGATTGGGATGAGGTAATATTTACTGTCTCTCTACTGTCCTCCTGTAACTTCTTAATTTCACCGTTAGAGAAGGTCATCTGCTTAAGATGATTTTTTTTATATTAAAGTGGTTCTAAAAGCATGGTGTCAGCAATCATCAAATAAAGGCTTTTTTGCATTGTTTCAATTACTTCTACCAGATAATTTAGGCTTTATATTAATGACCTCTATGAGCCTTTTTTATGTCCAAATTGCTGTAAAAACCTTTATGATGTAGATTTTGTTAGAGTGGCTATAGAGAAGCACCATATAGAAAAACAGCCTTACATGACGGAAATCACGTACGCCAGTCGGAAAAAGGCCTAAAATATCTTTTAAAGGATTAGACCAGACAATGTCTGTTCAGTTTGGTAATTAAAGTGGTTTTTGACCTCTTTTTGTGACCACAAGCTATTTTATAGCAGCAGGTATGCTGGTCAGATGTTCACTGCCATAAAACCCCTGCTCAGCAATGAGGTTACATTTTTTGGTCTTAATGAAGCAAAAATGGATCAAAACAAAATAACATGGAGATTTCAGTTCCACATTCGTAGCTTAGTACAACCTAAATCGTTTTAATTATTATTATATCCTAATTATTATATATTAGCATTAATACGTGGGTATTTTGTTTAACAAACTTCCTCTAAGACGAAGCTGTTCCTGTCAGTATGAATTAAGAAATACTAATGATTCTAATTTCTTTGAAGATGTGTTGAATGTCTCAACTTTAATTCCTTGTTTACAGGCTGAAGCCAAGAAGAAAAAGAGAAGTAGTGAGGAGAGGGAGAGATTCGCTGTGAGTAATTTCTTTTTTCCCAAATTTCACAAGCACAATGTTTGTCATCATGATCACAATGCATTGGGGATGAAAACAAGCCATTTTGCAAGAAATAAAAAAGTTGACAACTTTATTTGAGATGTGGCTGAGTGGTTTTATATTGTCGCTATTATTTGGTGTCTTAGGTGAAATCCAAGAAGAAGAGGAAAAAGAAGCACAAGAAGCACGGCAGAAAGAAGAAAAAGAAGGCCACGTCTCAGTCGGACTCTGAGCTTGACTGAAAACCGTTTCTTTGAAGCGCTACATTTTTTTTCCCCTTCACACTTCATCAGTGTCTTTTGCCTTTGATGATGAAAAACATTTTCTCATGCAGCTGCGTCTATCTGGATTGAACGAGATGAGGGAAATGCTGGTACATCAATGGTCCTTCCCAGCAATGCTTTTTCATAGATTAAGATTCCCTCACCAACAGGACTGCACTGCTTTTCCTTTTTTGTATTTATCCCATGCATCTGACACCAAGTCAGTGTGCTTTTCGCCCTGACTTCATACCTCACATCTCCCAGCGCTACACGAGGCTGCTCTGCCAGTGCCTGTGTCATGCATGTAGACACTGATGTCTCGCCAGCCTCACATTGAAGTTGGATCTGTTATAGGATGTTAGCCACACAGGTGATAGTAAACTCCACAGATTGTTTTGTTCAACGAGGTGTTACATTGCAGCGTAAATGTATAAATTACAGGAATTCAATAAAAGTGTTGTTTTAGCTTTTTTTGACTACTTTGTTTTGAACTTGATTCTTGTTGTATGAAGTGTGATGGTAAATGCATCCAGAAAGTATTCACAGTGCCGTACTTCTCCCACATTTAGTTTTGCAACAGCCTGACTCCAAATGGTATTAAATTAGTATCTTGCCTTAAAATTCTGCACACAAATCACCAGTATGACAATGTGAAGCTACTTTTTTTTAATTTTTTTTTTAGATGGAGGCAAATGTATTGAAAATTGCAAATTAAGAAACCATTTTTCAGGCATTCACAGTCTTTTGCCAAAAACTGAGCAGAGGTCACTATTGTTTCCATTGATCATTCTTGTGATGTTTCTAGAGCTTACATGGAGTCCACCTCTTCATTTGGCTGCACCTGATTATCAGCAGTACACACCTGTCTATGTGAGGACCAATAGCTTACAGTGCAGGGGTTGGATTCAGTCAGGATTAAGACACAGGTCTGGATAAGATATGGAAATATTCCTGCTGCTTTGAAGGTCCAAATAAACTCTACACCAGGGGTGTCAAACTGGTTCCAGAAAGGGCCTTGTGGCTGCAGGTTTTCTTTCCAACCAAGCAATAGCACACCAGACTCCAGTCATCTCATTAGGCCATCATATTCAGATTGGACTCACTTGGTGAGATGACTGGAGTGTGGCGTGCTATTGCTTGGTTGGAAAGAAAACCTGCAGCCACACGGCCCTTTCTGGAACCAGTTTGACACCCCTGCTCTACACTTTACACTTCCATCATGTGTAAAGCGAAGAAGCACCAGGACTCTTCTTAGAGTTGGCTGCTCTAAGAAGGAGAGAAGGGGAGGTGACCAAGAAACCCGTGGCCACTCATGCACAGCCCCAGGGTTCCTCTGTGGAACCGTCCAGAAGGAAAACAATCTGCGGCGATCCATCAATTAGGCCTCTATGATAGATTTCCAGATGAAAGCTTCTCTTCAATAAAAACCACATGACTGCCCATCTGGAGTTTGCTCAAATACACCTGGAGGACTCACCATGAGAAGCAACGTTCTCTAATGTGAAGAGACAGAGATTGAACTCTTTGGTGTTAATGCCAGGTGTCACGGCTCCCCACCAGGACAATACCACCTGTACAGTACAGCATGGTGGTGGCAGCATTATTCTGTTTTTTTTTTTTTTTTTTTTCAGCATAAGGAACTGGCTAACAGGCTGCGATGGAGGGAACTAGAAAGAATAGAATTAAACTTTATTGTCATTACACTGTCACAAGTACAAAGCAACGGAATGCAGTTTGTTTCTATCCTGAAGTGCTATACAGGATATAAATATATTTATTGACAAGTGTACAGAGACTATGTATGTATGTATGAACTATAAATGGTATATATAAGCAGAGTAATTTTAAGAGGCTATAAAATAAATATGGAAGTTATATAAAGATTATACAGGAAAGTCAGGATATAGATTTTATGTAAATTAGAGTGGTTATAATATAGGATAAATAATGACAGAGGTTGTATGTGTGTGGGGGGGAAACAGAAATGTGAATACTACAAAGTATTGAGAAAGTGTGGACATCCATAGCACTTTTGACCTCAAAGTCAATGACTCAAAACGCAGCCAAGACTTCAAAGGAGTTGATCAGAACCACTTTGTAAATGTCCTGGATTGGCCATGCCAGAGTCCAGACAGGAATCCAATGAAACATCTGTGGGATACCTGAAGATACCTGCAGACGACTGTGATCCAACCTGATGCAGGACCAATATGTAATAATGTTGCAATATATCTTTTTTTTCCAAAACATTTTTTAAAAGCGAGAAGGGTGTTTAAACCATTTGAAATAAGAGTCTCAAATATCCAGGCTAAGTTAAAGATAAACAACATTCATTTCCAAGGATGTACAAGTACAGCTTAAATTATTAGGAAATTATAAAAAGGTTTAATAACTCTATCAGTAATTGAAATAAGGAAAAACATTGTGCAGATATTGAAATGTTTCAAGTTTTGTTTAACTTATGTCTATTTCTTTGTTACATTACACTTAATTACATTTTTAAAAAGTGATCAATTTTATGATTTTAATAATTATGGGTTACAGATCATGAAAAATAAAAGTTCAGTCTAAGGAAATTAGGGTATCACATAAGGTCAATGAGAAAAGATATAAACAGTGAAATGTGTGAGGATGGGTAATTGCTTTTAACGTTATTCTGAAATACAAGTTAATTTTTAATTTAGGTTATCTTTGTTTGATATTAAACATGTTTAAGAGAAAAAAAAATTGTAGCAGCAAAAATACTTTTCATTTTGCTGTCACTTGAACTTATAGGTTGCAAAAAGGTAAAATTAAAGATAGGGTATAGTGCTAATTAAATGTAACAAAAAAACGACTTGTAAAAAAAAAATGTTTAATATAATTGACGTATTAGATGAGGCTAAAAAGCCAGCATTTAGTTTGCTGTGGCCTTTACCATCCAAGTTTAACAACCTTGGTCACTTGTTTGGAAGTGTCTCTCTAAGTCTTGTGACTGGAGCAATGTGATGTGCCAAAGGTCAATACGAGCTCATAAAAACACGTATGCTCCTCGGGATCGTTGGTGTGTGTTTGTGTGTGCGGGAGTTCTCCTTCCAATGATTACTAAGCTTTTCTGAGTGACTAATAAAACACACTTTCTGCTTCCTTGCCATGTTTGAATGGGAGTGTCCTGTGTTGGTTATAAAGAGTGAGGTACCGATATCGTGATGAGAAGCTGTTGGATCACTGGACGCATAGAAGGTAAGAATCCAGAGAATCTTAAGGATTTTGTTTTACTTTGACATTTTTCAGCTGACTAAGCTACTTTTTCCTGGACTGTTGGCATTAACATTAGAAAGAAATAACAGAAGAATTAAAAACTTCTTATTTATGATGTTAAAACTGATTTAGGAAGTGTATAATACCTGCTTCTGGCCATGCCTGGAAGATAACTTTAACCTGCTCTTTGTCAGATGCTGAAGATCACAGTGTGGCTGTGTGTCGGAGTGTTTCTATGGGGCTCTGCATCTTGCAACATCAGATGCCCTGATGGAAGCTTATGTCCTGATTCATCAACATGCTGCCAGACTCCTCAGGGATACGGCTGCTGTCCGTATTTAAAGGTAAATCGCATACCTCCAACCATTGGCACATTTAAACCACTGGCTCCAGGGGATTCTTATGTGTGTGTTTTTTTGTGTATATGTCTAAAGGCAGTGTGTTGTGCTGACCTGGCCCACTGCTGTCCCTGGGGATATCGCTGTGATTTGGTCATACAGATGTGCGTGAAAGAAAACCAGCCATGGATTAGAATACCGATGGTGAAGAAAGATGCTGCAGAGGCGCCAAGCAACCCTGAGGTGTCTCTGACCCCCTTAACGGAAGTTGAAACCAACAATGTGCCCGACCAGCAAAAGAGTACAGTTGTCTATTGTGACAACTATTATTATTGTCCTGATGGTACTACTTGCTGTAGACATCCAAAGGGGGCCTGGTTCTGCTGTCCATACTCTCCTGTGAGTAGATCTGCAAGCTGATGTCCTATTGGTCTCTTAGGAAGTGCAAAGAAATCAGTAAAACAAGCACAATCTCTGTATGTTACCTCGTAGGGAAGATGTTGCCTGGATGGCTACCACTGTTGTCCGTACGGGTATGACTGTGATCTCACTTACACTCACTGCGTCAGGGAAGGCCTGAAGTATCCCTTCATCCACAAACAAGCTCTGACTTCCATTCCTGCCTCTCTCCACTCAGCACCTGAGGACAAAAGCAGCGTGCAGGAGGTAAGATTGGGCCCACTTTCTTTATCTAAATGTGAAATAGTCAGAGGCCTTGAACTTTGTCAGCTTAAAAACCAGAAGCTTCACTCAACATGGGCTCCCTGGGGTGAAACATGGTAGTGGGCATACATGGTATGGGGGTATCACCTGTGAACAGGCTTTTATTATTATTATTTGCAAAAGCTCATTCATGTCTAATTGTTCCATCACTTTAAAAGTTTAGTTATAAATGTGACAAAAATATGTATTTCTATTGTTTTGAAAGTCATGAAACTCTAGTTGTGGTTTATTTCATACTCACCCAAAGCAAACTAGTATAAATACTTTAAGTCACATTTTTTTTAGGCTGAATATATAGGCAGCATATATAAAGGCAGTTTAGTTGTTCCTTATCCCATTAATCTATTTTGTGATAAAAATGAATTTTAAGATGAATATATTTAAAAGCTCTTGGATCATATGAAAAAAACTGATGCTAAAATATGCACATAAGAGCTGAAATAAATCCTTATTTATTTTTTTTCTTATTTCTACAGACAGTCTTCGCAGCGCTAACAGAAAGCATCTCCGATGAACAGGGAGTTATTCGCTGTGACGATAGATTTTACTGTCCAACCGGCTCAAGTTGTTGTAAGGGACCCAACGCCGAGTGGAACTGCTGTGCCAACTAACTGGTACGTTCTGCTCATCTGCTCACTTGTTAAGGAGTTATAGGTAAATATCAGCTGTAGTAATGTCATGATGTGAATTTTAATGTGCTGCATAAGCTGTGGTTCAGTAAAAGTTCATTAGAATGTATTCCCTTCCCAGAAATAAAACTAAATGAATTCTCTTTATGATTTCAGGTTGTAATTTTCAGGTGGCCAGGACTGCTTTGAGTACGGATCCTCCTCGCCTTTCAAAATGCTGAAAAATTAATGGAGAACACCCACAATAAAAATATCAACCATAATTTTCTTTTTTTTCCAGACCTGCTTTCATCTGTATTCAATATTATTTTCACTGGATAAGATTTGTCTCAGTTATTTTGTAAATGATGGGCTCCAGACCACATGGGATTATCATGACATGTTATCCACCTCCCGTACATTATTCCAAGTGAATGTTTGGTTCCAAGAAACAATAAGCAACAACTTAGACATCTATCCAACATTATAGTATTCTGACATTATGAGTGTTTACAGACTAGGAAATGACAAAATAAAGAATTGTCTTTCCATACACCTTCAGACTCCAGGGATTTGTTCGGGTTTTAGTGCACGTTTAATAAACCCACATGGGTCTGAGCTTTTCCAGTTCTTTGTATCACCAGGATATCATTGCTGCAGTAAATGGAAGCAGCTGAAAGTTCTACAGTCAATCTGTGCTTATTGCTTGGTTAGATTTATGTTGCAACTCAGTACAAGAAATTGTGTTGCACTTGAAACAAGAGATCTGGAGTGAGAGAACACTGGAGTTTATTAGCTTTAGTGTTAGACTAGTGTTCTTTTGACAACAGAGGCCAGATGGCAAAATATTTATCTCCATTTTATGACTTCAAACTGCAAAGAAACATGGTAGAAACTGTACATCACTGTCCTACTGGTTACCGGTAAATAAAGTGGGTTTTGTAGGCAAAAACAACCTCTGAAAGATCCGACTGCAAAGTATAAAAGAGAGCACACCATGACTCACGAAGATTTAACCAGACTGCAGAAATATAGCTGTCAAAATCTGCTTCAAAGGGAGTATAACTCCACCTAATCTCTACAAGTTAGACGACAGTTTTCTCACAACAATGTTTCATGTTTGCACCTTAATTCCCATCTAGCTCACATGGAAGGAAGCTCACAATACTGACACACTAATTTATTGTTTATTTGCTTTAAACAATAAGAAAAGGCAAAGAGCTATGCATCAGCTTTAAAATATTGTGTAAAGGTGTAACCTTGGACAATTCACAGCACACCCACACGGCTTTGATTTAGATTGCAATACTTTTTCTTGGATCACTGCTTTACTTCTGCTATTTAGGTATTTTCACGTCGCTATCAATTCTCTGGATTCTCTAAAACAGAGTTGGCTTAGTGATCTTCCACTAAATGGGAAAAGCTCAGTTACGCTCTGAGCTGTCAGTCTTTTGCCCCACCTTGTGTAATTATTATTATTAAAAATTGCACATCAGCTCACCCAAGCACATACAAGACGCCATTGCCTCACCCTTTTGCTTCATTTACACAGATTTGTCTGAACAATAGATGTCTCTGCTCAGAGATATTAATAATAATACATACTTTACATATGTATTGAAACTTTATAGTGAATTTAAACATTAATATTTATTAAACATGCCCCAAATTGTTTGTAAAGTTTGCAGATAGCTTCTTGCTTTTGTGAGTTTTATTTCTGCAGCTTGACAGAATATTACATTGCAGTATTATTTAAGTTTTTAAAATTAAATATATTATCTGTTAATTCAAGCTTTTTCCAGTTCAGGCATCTGGTTAAAATAGAGTTGATTTTATACAAGCAGCCCATTGAGAGAGTAATCCACACATATATTACCAAAATGGCCTGGAATTATACTTATAGCGCCTTTTCAAGTCTGGGAACTCCAAAGTTCACATTCACCCATTCATGCATACACTGATTGTGACAAGTTGCATTGTAGCCACAGCTGCACTGAGGCTCACTGCCAGACAGTAGGCAATGCAGGTGAAGTGTCTTGCCCAAGGACATGGTGGTAGAGAGAGCGGGAGCCCAAACCGGCAACCCTCCAGGTGCAGGGCAAACTGCATTGGACACCACTGTTGCCTGGAATATTGGGATGTACTTTTTGTAGGCTCATTGCTTTATCCATGATTTTTCTCCAGACAGTGAAAAATGCTCCAGCTAACCTTTCTACTTTTTATTTTCTCTGTCTGCCTCGCTTTGTACCTCAAAGTACAGATCCAGCATGTAAACTGACACTGTTTTTATTTTTAACCATCTCCATCAAAACATCCTGAAATTCTCTAGTTCTGATATGTAAGCTGAAGTCCTCCTGAACCAGAAGTAGAGGACTTTCAACTCAGCAGAGATTTCAGCAGGTGCTCCAAAGGGAGGATGGGGGCGGCAAATAAATGATTGGAGGAAGGTGGAGAAGCAGCTGGTGCAAAATAACGTCAGGGATGTGTAGTAAGGTCTCAAGAACATCTCCGGCTTTGGACAGAGGACCAGCAGGGCTGCAGATGGTGACACCAAGTCTGCGGATGAGTTACACAGGTTTTTCACCTGGTTAGACTCCCTCTACACTGCTCCCCTCTCTGCACTCACCTCTTCACACATCTCCAACCCCCAGTCCCCCAGAGACCTTCCCTCCTCCCCGCAGCAACTCTCACCAATCCCTGACCCATCCACACCTTCAATCCTCCCCACAGAGACGCCCATCAACTCCATCCCCCTCCATCTCCCTCTCCTCAAGGCCTGCTTTCCTCCCTCCTCATGGTCACTTCAATGCAGATGAGAGGCTAGCTGATAAGGCTGAAACAGAGGAAAGCCTCAGGACTGGATGGCATCCCCCCAAGGCTGCTAAAGATCTATGCAGACGAGCTCAGCTACATCTACAACCTGAGCCTCAGCCTGGGGTTGGTCCCCACCCTATGGAAGACTTCCTATGTGGTACCTGTTCCCAAAACACTGCATGCGAAGGAACCGGCTCACTTTACACCAGTCACCCTGACCTCCCATCTGATGATGACCATGGAGCGCTTCTTCCTCACACATCTCCGCACCGTGGTGAGCCCCACCCTGGACCCACTGCAGTTTGTCTTCTGGCCCAACATCATAGTAGAGTAGAGGGAGCATTATCTCCCTGCTGTAGTGGTGTTCACTCACCTGGAGACCACCGGGAGCGCAGTGAGAGTGATGTTCTGTGACTTCTCCAGTGCTTTCAACACCATCAGACGGGTGAGGAGGAAGCTGGAGGACCCTGGAGTGGACAACTATCTGGCTGCCTGGACCATCAACTACCTCACTGACCGCCCTCAGTACATGCGGCTGCACGACTGTCATTCAGAAGTGGCAGTCTGCAGCACTGAGGTCCCCCAGGGCACCGTGCTGTCTCCATTTCTCTATACCTCAGAGTTAACCTACAATACGGACAGCTGCCACCTCCAGAAGTTCTCCCATGACTCCGCAATTGTGGGCTGTACGTCTGAGGGGAACGAGCTTTAGTACCAGTTGGTCATCATGGACTTTGTGGACTGGTGTGAGAACAACCACCTGTGTTTAAAGACCAGTAAGACCAAAGAGATGGTGATCGATTTCAGGAACATCTAGGGGCAGGACATAGAAACAGGGGAGAGTTTCAAACACCTGGATGTTCACGTCAACAACAAACTGGACTGGACTCATAAGATGGACACCCTGTACAAGAAGGGCCAGAGCCGTCTCCACATCCTGAGGAGGCTGGGGTCCTTTGGAGTGAGCCGACCCCTGCTTAAAACTTTCTATGATAGTGGCCTCAGGCCTCCTCTACGCTGCTGACTGCTGGGCCCCAGGCAGCACAGAGCAGGACAGAAAGCGACTGAAAAAACTGGTGAGGAGGGCCACTTCTGTCCTGGGTTCGGTGGAGGAAATGGCAGAGAGGAGGGTGCTGTCCAAGCTTACATCCATGGAAAACACCTTTCACCCCCTGCACCAGGCTGTAGAAGAGCTGAGCAGCTCCTTTAGTAACAGATTTTTACACCCAGTGCACTAACGCAGTTGTTCGTGCACTAAAATCTGCAATTACTTATACTATTTAACCAGAAACCAGACTTTACCTGCCACTACTTTAATGCACATAAGATACTGTACATATAAGTCACCTTAAAGCTCTCCTTCTTTATTTTTTACCGTCCACTGTAAATATCTGGATGCACTGTATATACTTCATACTTCTCTTCCTCTTTTGTGCAACTTCTGTTTGTTTATAAGAGCCCATGTCGCAAGTGAATTTTCCATTGTGAGATGAAAAAAGTTCTATTCTTTTCTATTCTGGTAGATTTGAAATCTGGCAATATCGCCAAGTTAAAAAACTCTGGGTCTCCTGTCTGATACACTGTGGCAGTTGTGTGATTTAAAAAATAAAACGTCAAAAACTTGAAAACAAAGGAAACTTTCACCACCTGTCCATACAGTGGTCTCACTGAGACTAAATGGGGCTTAGTAGACAGACTTTTCTACTTGCAAACAATCAGCCTGATTCCTTCAATACTTCCCCTGATGGCAGGGCTTCAGGAGCTCTCAGAGATTTTCCATCACAATCTTAAGATGTTTTCGTATGGCTTTCATTTTTGTTTGTTTTTCCATGTTCTAACCATCCTTATGAAGTCTGTTGTTATTTTTGCCTGTTCAGCTCACTTCAGTGCTCTTATTTATTTGACTTTATCCATGTTGGTCTTTTTCTTGACATTAAGCTCTCTAGTTTTACTGCTTTATGTTCAGTCTCCCTTCCTCTTGTATAGGATCAAGGCCATTCAGTCTACCTCACTTAGTTCTAACTGATGCCTCCCTGCTTCTCTTGCTACTTTGGCCATTTCTCCATTCCACCAGCTGGAAAACACTGGCTCAATACAACTAAAGTTAAACCATATAATTACATGAATAATTTTTTTTTAGATTTATAAAACACTGCACATAATGGAAAATATACACCAAACAGGACATATCTACACTGCTAGAGTGCTGCAGATCAAGACCCAGGCGAACAGGGACCTTATGCAGGGACTGGTAAGCTGCCACTCATCTGTGGCAGTAAGGTAGATCTGAAACAGAGAAAGATCTCTGTCTGAGAACAGCTTGTAGTGGCAAGCGGCCTTAACTACCATAACTGCTGTTAATCTTTGATACAGAAAGGCAAATGCTAGCTTCTTAGTAAAAATAACAATTTTACTTTAAACTGTTTTTTTATGTCTCTTTCCTTTGATTCATAAGATTTATATCCATTTGGGTCAAAGTTGCCAGTCTGTCTTTAAACAAGACATTGGCAAAAAAAACAAAAAACTTTAAAGTTTATTTCCCTTCAGCAGTTGGAATAAAAGCATACAATGTAAACGTTAGAGGTTGTATATGTTCAGGACTTCCTGAACCATAAAAATTCCAGTATTGTAAAACAATCCAGTCAGTCATGTTATCAAGAGCGGTTTAAGCCTGAGACTTCCTCTTTCTGTAATATTGTTTGGACATTTATTCCACAAACTGAACTCAAAAAGAAGAAGAAACAGGAGAAGCAGTAAAGAGAAATTTATTCTAAGCAATTCACTTGGTTCCTTCGCAAAACAACTATAATTAGAGGATCCTATTAATTAGAGGGTCTGGCCATGATGTGTTTTGCAGAGAAATTACACAGATTACAATCTTTATTTTTTTCTTCAATGTAACATCTGATATGACAAGAATTCAATTTTAAAAAATCAAGTTTTTACCAATGACTTATTCATTTGTAGTTTTAGCTGTTTTTTGTTGTTGTTTTGTTTTTTAAGATAACAGAGGATAGGAAAAATACCCATATTTTAATATATATATTCTAACAGTTTAATTTTATTTTTTGCATTTTAAATTTGAACTTATACTAAATTTTTTAGGCATTTGAGACATAATGTATATTCAGTGTTTGCATTTCTTTTGCAGGTTCAAATGTTCCACAGATCCTGATGGTTTCAGTTTACAGTGAAGCAAAACAGGGCATGTCTCACCAGAAAGTGAAAGTATGAGCTTCCACGATGAACTGGAAAAGCCTGACGTGCACGGGGACAGAGGGGTTTATTGGGATAAATGCCTTATTAATGGAGCCATTTTTGATTTTTAAATGTAAAACAGATTTTGGATAAAGGCAGTGATGAAAAACTTTTAGTCTCCTAATATTTTTGCACAAAGGATTTTGATAACATTCAAAAGAAACAAAAAAAAATATACAACTACAGCAAAGAAAATAAAATAATTCAACACTGCAAGACTGAAATCTTTTTCTGGCATTGCTTTTAAATGCAAACTGAACTCTGTAGTTTAAATCCCTGCACAGTTTTTGATATGTTTCTGCATATGTAGAGGTTTCTCTGTCTGACTTAGACGTTTAGAATCGACCCTACATCTGAAACATTGCTCTTGTGTCTAACCTTGCACAGTAGTGGCAACACTACATTAAGGTCCAAATCTATGTGACCACTTTTATTCTAATCTTTTGCTATAATTTTTTTGCTGCTGTAACACCACAATTTCCCCATTGCGAGACAATAAAGGCGTTTTCTATTCTATTCTGCTCAACTTTACAGAACTGAAAAGGTTTATCTTGACTACTGGAAGAGGGAGGGTCTAATTTCTGCTATAAAGAGCAGAAAGTGTGCTGTTCAGCTGAAAAGGAAGTTAAAACCTTGTGACAGGAAGCTCTTCAAACACTTCATTTGCCGAAGGTAAGAATCGATAAACCTCTTAAGCCATTAAACTGTGTTATTGCACGTATTTTACAGTTTTGATTAACGGTTTATATGCAAACATCACTGGTGTGAATATTAAGTTAATTTCTTTCTTTTAACAGTTTACTAGAGCTGTTCTTTTTCACGTTTCATGACCAGAAACATTACTTTCAATTTTAATGAACTCTGAAGAGCAAGAATGATCTCCATGCAGGCTAAAAACTAAATAAAAGATAAAATATAAACATAACCTAAACTCCTGATTATCAGCTTTATTGCCTCTTAGGAAGTTTTGCCTTGACTTTGTTTTTGTTTTTAACAGCAATCAGCAAGTTTTGATATTTAACAAACCATCTTCACTTAAATCAGATGGCATCGCTTTAAAGCATATTTCGGTAAATATCAAGTAGTATGAAGTCAGGAGCCATCAAAAGGCTTAAAGTCAGCCTGTGTTTTCAGTTTGAATGCTGCTGTGTGTTTGCTATTATTATCCTGTTAAATCTCCCAGCTGTACTACAGTACAAACTAGTACAACTAACAGCAAAATCAGACCTAAGCATGCTGCTACCACTGCCGTGCTTAACCCTTTATAGGGCACTCAGTGAAATACTTTGAAAATCAAAATTTCAATCCAATAGTGTTATTGGAATTCCGGACATGACCTTATTACCTTTCTAACATTAAAAAAATATATGGGTATTTTGATCGCAAAAATTAATGTCAATGTAATAAAAAAACGCCAACTCTCCTGAATATATTAAGAAAAATAACAAAAGTGTTTCTATGAGAAATTCATGAAAAAGAAACTTTTTTTTTTTTTTTTGTACAACATAACCTTAGAGGCATTCATGCTGATACAAAAAAAAAAAAAATCCAAAAATAATCGTTAACGAGGCTTATTAACTTTTTAAGTTTACTTTTTTAACTTTTCAGTTAGCTTTTTACCATTTAATGGACTTGTCAATTTTTTTTCAACTTAATTTACAGTAGGAAATATATAATTCAAGGGCTTCTCTAATTAGTCAAAGGCCAAAATAAGATGTACAGCCATGTAGCAGGATCTTTGCTGAATGGCTGGATATAGATCTTGTGTTTCTAGAACTCACTGAGGCACATTGGGTAAGTGATCAAACAAGGTAACTAGCCCTATAAAGGGTTAACAGTTAGTTCTTAAAACTTAGAACAGCTCTAAGTCTTCTTTGTACATTAAAAATTGCTCTAGATACATGTGCACTTTTGAAATGGAAAGTTGAGCTTAAAGTTGGAACAATCACCTTCTTTATTGTAATATGAAAAAAGAATCGAAAGTGCAGGATCCAAGCATTGCAGTGATTTATTTGATTTTGTTTGGTGATAGTATGGTGTAGTTTGTGTAAATGTGTGACACAAGAACGCAGTTAGATGCTCAGGCAGAAAAGATGATCCCACAAACACACAAAAGCCTTTTTTTTTTCAGACAAACAACCTTAAATACAGGCCCACTCTTAACCCTACTGAAGATTTGTGCTTAAATGCTCAGTTGACTTCTGATAATGACGCTGATAAGTAAAACAAAGATTGCAAGTCATGGGGAAATAATTAAAAACCTTAGTCATTGTGTGTTCAAAACCATGATCCAAATGTCAGCAGACCCACTTCTGTGTTAACTTGAGGTTTATGTTGCTCCTGATAAAATATGACAGTGTGATTCTGCTACTTTAATCCTTGTAGGGAGAGCCATGTTCGGAAAATAGATCAGTAATGAGGCCCGGCATTTGTGCTGCTGGTTCTTAAATGAGATAAATGTCGATTAAGAAGAAGAAACAGAAGCAACAAGAAAAGACTGAGAACTTCTTTAATATCACCTGTAATAGTTAACGCTGACACCTTGTCTCTGTCAGATGCTGAGGATCACTGTGTGGCTCTGTGTAGGAGCGTTTCTGTGGGCCTCTGCATTTTCCTCCATCACATGTCCTGATGGCTCTTCCTGCTCCGATTTGGAAACATGTTGCCCCACTCATCAGGGCTACAGCTGCTGTCATTATCCAAAGGTACGTCACAATTCTTTGAACATCAGAACATCTAGCTCACTAGTACGGTGATTTAAGAGAACACGGTTTGATGAAGGAAAAGGGTCAGTTTCATCACTTCTCTTTCCCTGCTTTTGTCTGGATGAAGGCGGTGTGCTGCTCTGACCTGGCCCACTGCTGTCCATCGGGGTTTCAGTGTGATCTGAAAGAGCAGATGTGCGTAAAACCCTATCAGCCATGGGCCAGCATACCAATGGTGAAGAAAGCAGCTGCAGAGCTCCCAAGCACCCCTGATCTGTCTGTAACTCCCAATGTGGAGGTTGAAAACAACAATTTTCCAGAAAAAATCAAAAGCACAGTTGTCCACTGCGACAACTTCAATGTGTGTCCTGACGGCACCACTTGCTGCAAACACCCAAAAAGTGGCTGGTTCTGCTGCCCTTACTCTCCTGTAAGTCGATCTATTTACAGATAACTATTAATCTCTTAATTTAAGATCATTTCATTCTTTGACTAACTTACATATATTTTTTTTGTTTTTTAGGGAAAATGTTGCCTGGATGGCTTCCACTGTTGTCCTTATGGCTACGACTGTAACCACTCTTACACTCAATGCGTCCGAGAAGGATTGCGGTATTTGTTCAAACAACCTCTAACCTCCGTACCAGCTTCTCTTGTTTCAGTGTCTGAGGAGAAAAGCAGCAGAAAAGAGGTAGGAAAGCTTTGTCTTTACAGCTAGGTCTCTACTACACCCTTTATGAAAAATAAATATGACCTTTGTGGGAAAAAAAACACAACATTTTGACATAAATGTATGTTTCAAATGAACTAACTCTGGTACAAAAGAAGAATCACAGTGAATATTTCTTTATTGTCTCATTGTTTGATCTTATTTTTGCAGACACCACTGACAGCTCTAACAGGAGCAAGCAGAACTTCCTTCAGCCAGGGAGTCATTCGCTGTGATAATGACTTTTTCTGCCCTAATGGTTCAAGTTGCTGCAAGGGACCAGGGGGCCCCTGGAGCTGCTGTCCCTACCCACTGGTATGGCTTGTATGATATGTAAAGTATACCTGGATGTAAAAATTCATAAATACAGTGTTTATAATTAAGGTATGTCACTAATGTTCTAACACTGGGAATGATTTCCAGGGTGCGTGCTGTGCGGACGGTAAACACTGCTGTGAGTACGGATACCAGTGCGACCCCTCTTCCTCCAAATGCAAAAAGTAGATCCCCTAAAGACTACAGGGTCACACTGAAGAAAACTGAAATCACATTACTCAACTGATCTTTTAGTGGTTTGCACTGATTTTTCATCATAATTTCTAATAAATTGCTTACTAACCTAAAGAGTCCATCTGCCTTGTTCAGGTTAAAGCCAATTGATTGCAGACGTTTGCTACACAACAAAAAACTGTAATTGAGGTCTTTAAACTAGCTTCTGATTTTTATTCTGTCTTTTTAAAGCTTTTTTTTTTTTTTTTTATTACTGTTATTATGATCTGCTGTGTGAATTAGATTGATGCCAGAGTCTTATACGGCACATCAGATCATTGAGCTGTTATTGTTTATTCTAAAATAAAGTTCAAATGTATACATTTTTCAAGAATTATATTTTTTTCTTACTTGCCAAAATGTGATTGTCATAATCAACCCTTCCAAACATTGTCTATATCTTTTTTTTTTAAAACTATGTGATAGAAAGATTGGAGAGGAAGTCTCCACTCTTGGAGATTTCCTCTCCAGTCTTTGTTTTGCCTACAAAACAAGAACAGTTTTCCAGGCAATGTTTAACTGCTGCATGTCTGAGAGAATCATGTAAGAAAACATCCAAACACAGGGATTTTATTCATGCAAACAATAATCGAGGGGAACAATGTGAAAATAAACTACACAGTACAAGCTGTATTTTACATTAACTTTAACATTGCCCTATTTCAAAAATAAAATCTTTGAGACTGAAGAGAAATTAATCTTTTTAAATGAGCAAATATGATTGCATTTCTTATGTCTAATAATATGCATTCCCCTTTTTTTTTATTTGGAAACATTATTATAATTCAAATAAATATGATTTTTCAAAGTGCAAATATTTCTGGTTCCTCCCTCAGTACTTGGTATCCTAGGTACAGTTGGTGAGGTGGTTGTGGTGGTTTTCGGTAAAATAACATGAGTAAAGTAGCATGGGTTTGTTGAGACCAGGCCTAATACTGAAAAAATATATTTCACTGATGGAAAGTGTAATGAGCTAATCGAAAACTTAAGCTGGAGTTATTACTTTTTTATGTTTTTAAATGTCATTTATTTTTTTCATTGTTTTCATTTCCACATTAACACCAAGTGGCTTAAAGTTAATAAAAGTGGATTAATTACTTTTTGAATTTGGCTCATATAAATTTAATTTAGAATTGGATTTGCTCTTTTTTCTTATTAATTTCTGTACAATTATTAATTCAATAATAATTATTAATCTATAGATAGATCTGTTTAAAATATTTCCCATGTTTCTGTCACATATTTGTGACATTTGTAAATGGAAGTCAATGCATTTTATAAAGTTTTGATGTCACCAACAGATTTTCATAAATCATTTAAAGCATGTGCATAAAAATAAAATTAAAAAAAAGGCAGTTGAACCAAAAAACTAAACTTAAGTATTGCAAGGGGATCCATTTGTTGTATTGGATGTGTGCGGCTTTGTTTAACAGGGACTGAAACTGCAATCTGCACTGTTTTAAATTCCCATGAGGACTGTTCTGGTTTAAATATTTTTTCTTCCCACTAACCCTACTACCTTGTTGACCATAAAAGAGCATTGCTTTGTTTAAATTGATGTCATCTTAGTGAGTCTTTCTAAGTTTGGGTCTTTATTTATCTGCAAGTTCATTTAAATCTTAAACATGGTGGATGTTTTCAAAAGGTAAAATTATTTTCTATATAATATGTACATTTTTGGTATTGGTGAGATTTCATAACAGATAACATCAGAGGAAAACTGTAGATACAATTGGATAAGAAATTTCTCATGGTAAGACAATTACAGAGAGAGAAGGTGACATTTCTTTTAATATAACTTAAACTTTTTATTATGGAGCGGTTGGAAGCGGAAAAACAACTAAGCAATCAAGAGGAACATGTAATACATGGGTCAAAAAGGTGTAGTATAGAGAACCTAGATGTAAATCATACAGCAAATTCCAAAATACTAGGAAATGTCTAGTCTCTGTTTCAAACATTACATTAGAACTGAATCTGAAAGAAACTATAAAAGATCCATAGTATACATGGTGATGAGGACGTGAAAGTGAAACCTAATATATATATATATATATATATATATATATATATATATATATATTTTTTTTTTTTTTTTTTATTTCTTTTTTTTTTGTTATGTGGTCCACACTCCCTACCAGTTGGTGGCGGTAATACTCACCTAACGTTTTTTTTACCACTTGCTATAAAAAAATTCAAGAAGAAGAAGAAGCATAAGAAGAAGAAGCGGTTTAGGTGCAAAAATGAGCGAAGTGGAAAAACTGAAGTCGTTTGTGGCTGCACGGCTGAATGAAGCTGCATCTGACATCATGGCTGCTTTCGCCAGAACATTATTGGATTACGAAAAGGAAGTTGCTCGGTTAAAAGAGGAAAACATGCGCCACTCTTCTTTGGTGGAGATTATTCTAAAAAAG